TCTGTCTGTCTCTCTGTTTGTCTGTCTGTCCGCCTGTCTGCATGTGTGTGCGTGTATAGACAGACATATGTATATGTATATGTATGTGTATGTGTATGTCTGTCTGTACATGCGTATGTCATGTTATATCATGTTAGGTTATGCCGTGTTACTTTTTACGATCTTATGCCATGTTATGTTATGTTGCAAGGTGATATGTTATGTCATGTTAGTTTGTATATGTCTATGTACATGTACATGTACGCGTATGTGTATATGTATCTGTATATGCAAAGCAGTGTAGCGCAACTTGTTTAGGCTTTAGGCCAGCGTGGAAACACACTCTGCGAGACTGACCGGGTGCCAGGAGACTGTGACCCTGATCTTGATTGATGTGAATCTTACCTGTCCAGTATCCTAGAGGAACTAGGTCTAACTAGGTTCAACTCTAAGACTATGTGCGCATTGTAGTACTTCAAAAAGGACAAAGGCTACCCACTCTATTACTGGGAAATCGTCAAGACACTGATTCCTTCAAGCTTTGGAAGAAGATTCAGCTCCTCGGCAGCGGTGCTGGGATTAGCAGGCTCGGCTGACATGTCAGTGTTCGTTGAGAAACATCCCGCGAGCTATTTTAGCCTTCAGGCACAAAAAAATAATGCTTTCCGAGTGCCACACCCACTGCGGCATATCCAGGCACATCAAGTTTATGACCCAAGGAGAGCTCCACACAAAAGCTAGCAAGATCTATGGTGTGCGCAAGAATAAGCATAAATCCCAAACCACCTCGTTGGGTTTGAAAGCTAAACCGGCAAACAAAGAACGCCTTGATAAAGATGCCAGTAGCTCCCCCGCTGCAGTCAAACGCAGTGCAAGGCGGTTGCAAAGAGAAAGGGGTATAGTGCGTAGGTGATTCTGTCTTGAAGCCGCTGCTTGCCGTCTTCGTCCTGCTACGGGCTTTTTGTGAGCCAAGTGGCATTCAGCGCCCGATAGATGCCCGAAGCAAATGTGAAGGCTCGGGATCCTCCTGCGAAGCTCACAGCAGCAATGGCTCTGTATTATACGTATTAGCAGAATAGTATAGTATCATGAGTGGTAAACCAGGTAGATCTACATGGCTGGGTCCCCAACACTGGATTAGGCTAAGGCTTTCTTCGATGACCGCTATGGCTAACCTTAGGCGTACGGATAAACAAGGGCGCGACACCTTCACGGGTGTAAGCAGTTTTGACTCTGTGATACTTTCGAGACGCAGGCCGAACCAAGCGCCGTGCTCGTCGTCCGTGTTGATGGTCGTAGTACTATAGGAGAACGCCATATAGAGTATACTACGGAACAACCCAATAGCAATAGCAAGAACCGCCGTGGGGCAAATGATGCCATCAGTGCACCAGATGAAGCTACTCTACTATATCATACTATATTCTACTATAGTATACTATATTCTACTACATTCTACTATATTATACCATACTATGAAGCATGACCCTGAAAGCGACACAGTGGGTCCTCAGACCGACACGCCTGGAACCCTAGGAGCTCCAATGTTCAATCCAAGGAGACCCGAGATTCCTCCTAGCTGGCGCACAGAAAGGTATGGTACAGTGGAATATAACATAGTATAATATTGTATAGTATATAAAATACGTATAATGTAGTATAATAATCATATGATATAACATAGTAAAATTGAATATAGTATAGTATGCAGAACTTAATTGTTTAGCATAGTTTAGTATAGTATATATATAATAATCTAGCAACATCGTCGTAAAATGTGATATAGTGAATCCAGGAACAGATCGGGAGGCGCCTCCGCTGACGCACATTCCTCGCAGCAAGAGCTCTGGAATGACAACCGGCTCATGACGCTCGGGGACTGGTGGCACTTGATGAATCTTTGCCATTTGCGCCGGGACGTAATGGGGCCTTGCAAGAGACTCCACAAGTACACTCTTCGAGCTACTATCCCGTTGTAGGAAGGACGGCCCGCAAGTGCAGAAACGCCAATTCTCCAGAAATGGCCGCGAGGTAATGCATCTCAAACTTAGAACCAAGATGAACGAAGACATCGCAAGAGCCAGAAAACGCAACTAAAGCGCTAGCCATACGAACGAAAAAGGCAGGGCAATCTCTACTATTCAATCCCCGGCACTCTTAGACCCTAAACCCTAAACTTTAACCTTATAAACCCTAAACCCCAAACCTCGAACCTCACGATCTTCAATTATAGGCCCTAAATGTAAATCCTGCAGACGTGAAGCCCTCAACACCAGAACATTGCTTTGACACCTTTGGCACGAAGATGCGTACCGGGATCGTGTTCTTGGTTTGCTTCTGTCATTCATCAATCATACGAGACCAGGATGCTACAAAACGCGAGGAAGATCCTTCAGGGCATTACACATCGATAAAATAATATAATGTAATATAATATAATATCATATAATATAATAGTTATAACAATCCTACCATCGCTAGAGTACCTACGCCCGCTGCGATGTCCTTGGACCAAGTTCTGCCCATTGGGAAAGGTTGGACTCTGCGAGTTCACGGCCGCCACATTGGCAAGGAAGGTAGCCTTGCCCCTTGGTTCGAGTACAACTATAACGATGTGTCATCTCCGAACTTCCTGCAGAGCAGACGAAAGACAAGCAAACACGTTCAATCTGAGCCTGCTATCAAATGCCATGGCTCTATTCTGCATGTAGCACCTCTCATCTTGGACGTCTTGCGTCATCGCGGCTTTTGCTTGATTCATCACGGCTTCCCACGTTTGCCAGACACTCTTTTGGCGACATGTCTGACCGCGGATAATTCGCAGACCGTGGCTACCGCAGAAACTACGAGGCAGAATAGATGTCAGATTCCACCTACCACAGCTTGCGCATGGCTCCTCCACGGGGCTTTGGGCATCCAGAAGGAACCAGTCCAAGCATTGCTATACTTCAACACGGGTTTTCCGAGAAGCCGGTGAACATGGGGAGGGCGCAACCGAGAGCGGGTGGCATCGCGAGCGGGTGTGTTGACGAGTACTATGGTCTCACGGTCTCGGCCCCACGATGGCCCCTCCACGAGCTTCCACCCTGTTACATTCTGTTCTCTCCGCGCAGAACCTCACAAGAAACCAGAAGTCATCAAGACATGTAGTACAATGTAGCCACTCTTAAATTTACCATACACCCCAATGCTTCCCCAGCCGAGAGGCGTCACTGGAACATCTACGGAGCCTGAGCTCAGGAGGTCCTCTAAGGGTATACTGTATACTGGCAGAGTTACTCTAAGGCTCTCAACGTTCTATAAGGTTTGTAAGGCCTTGTAGGGTTTATGTCAATTAAGAAGGCTTTCGCCTCACACACTCGCTCAAAGCTGGCATGGCGTTCGAAGGTCTGAGCTTACTACTGTGACGTCCTGGGGCAGGCATAAATCAGCATAAACACTGCAAAGAAGGCTTTAGGCCCGTAGGGTTTCGGCATCTATGTGCAAACTCGCAGGAACACTGCTAGACTTGATCGCGACCAGAAATGGAAAAGAGTTTGCCTAAGCCTGCTATACATACTGTTATTAATATATTAAATTAGTATATTACGCACAATAAGTTTTTAGCCTGACCAAGCCAAACATGTGTGGGACCCCACAGCACCCTGCGCAACACCAAAACCCGTCGTTATACTGAACAACATGGTAACTACACGCCATGCAACAGCACGTAGCCTAGGCCATGTCTGGTGCATGGCGGAAAATACGCTGGGTTACGAGGCTGGTGCACAAGCGCCTTCCAGCAGGGCTTATTGTGTTTGTGGATAGTCCCAGCAGGTCTGGGCAAAGTGCTTCGAGCATGTCACCGAGGGCTCAGGGCTCAAGGCAGGGAGCAGGCATAGTATTCACCTATTCTGCAATCTACAACTGACAGCAGGTTTTAAATCCGAGAATCCCCGACGTCCCGTCGTGATTGGATCAGTGTCGGACGTGATGTGATACTAGTTGTCCACAGCGCACGCTCTAGAGCTATGGTGACAGTTGAACTGACGGCATCATGCAGATCAAAACGCGAAGATGGCGGGAACGACGACGATGTGGTGAACGTGCTTTAAGTGACCGTGGTGCTCTTCACCCGTTCTGTGGCCTGGCAGCCCGAAACCAACCCGCGCTGCAGGCAGGTCGCTGGCAGCGCACCCCATCTTCGGCCCAGCGGAATCTTTCCACTTGGAGCCACAACTGCAAGATGCGGTCACAGGTTCAGACGTGTGCGTTGCTGGCACAACGCTGAGCGAACCCGTTTGATCGAGAAGGCGCGGCCTGCCGGACGATGTTCCTTGAGTTGCACAGCAGCTCAATATCCTACCACCGGTGACCCGTGTCTGTGAATGGTGAAACGGTTCACATCACCGACTTTACCATCCATAGAGACGTCAAAACTCTGAAGCCAAGAGCCCCAAGTCCGGTCCAAAACCCCCGAATCCCCCCAACATTGAGGACACAGCCGACTGGGGTCCCTCAGCTGGGACGTAGAGGCCGGCCATCGGAAGCCTGCAAAACAGCAGCTGCTAAAGTGAAGGGCATATTTGGGTTCAGGCTCCCAGGCCTAGGCTTCGCTGCTCGATAGGGTTTGGCACTTGGGGGGTCTAGCGGGTTTAAGGCGTTGGAGGTGCTGACTTGGGGTCAAGCATGGTTTAGCGTTCAGACTTTGGCATCTTTGGTAGTTGGGGCTTCGGGACTACTCGAACTGAAGCATTTGTCTCCATCCTGTCGCCTCGAGGCATGGTCCCAAAGTTCAAAACTGGTGCCCGTCTGGGAGACTTCACTGTTTGCTCTTTCTCTCTCTTTCTCTCTCTCTCTGGCGAGGCAGCTCCAAGCGAGCTCCGTCTCCTTCTTGATCTAACTCAATTAAAAGTGAAACCTCTTAAAAACAGCGCCTGCCTGTCCCAGCGTCATCTGATATTAGTGGCCCGGTCCTGCGGCGGACGATCCGTCTGCTGCAAGGCTTACAAGGAAAATCGACTTGACTCGCCGTCGACCTGCTACCAGTCGCTGACGTAAACAAGGAACTCCTCCTTCCCATTGCTCTTGATATCCATGGTAATCTTGTCACCGTAGGTGATATCCTGTCCCGGTACCATCTCGAATCGGCAGTGACGAAGCAACTCTACCGTAGCAGTCTTCGCTTCGAAAAGAGCCATATCCATGCCGAGGCATATCCGTGGTCCTGCTTGGAAGACAGGGAACTCGTGTTGAGACGGCGCTGTAAAGGGGATCCATCTTTCTGGGCGGAAAGCCTCGGGTTCTGTGTATCTTTTTGGATCCCGCCCCATGTTATATGGAGAGTAAGCCACCTGTGCCAGGGCTGGCACTTTCCACCCACCGGGCAGGACGTCGTCTTCAAAGGCCATCTTCGGGTCGAAGGGCACTGGAGGCCAAAGCCGTAGAGCTTCGTAGATGACGCCATTCAAGTATGGCATTTCACTGGCCGACAAGCTCTTCATGTCAAGCTTCGTGCCTGGCGGCAACTTCTGCATGATCTCGTCATGGAGCCGAGACTGAACGTCTTGGTTCCGGGTGAGTTCATAGAACGTCCATGACAACAGGCAGGCCGTGGTGTCTCTGCCAGCAATGATCAAATGCAAGACCATCTGCTTCACGAAGTCAGCGCTGAACTTCGCCTGAATGAAGAGTGCCAGCAAATCTCGTCGCTCAGGAAGCTGGGGATCATCACGACACTTCTTGACCAAGCGATCGGCCTCCCGATCGAGCACTCGGCATGCGGACTTCATTGTCCGGTACCTCGGGGATAGCCGGTCCCAAAGCCAACGAGCTAATCCTCCATGTCGGCCACCGAGAGGCCACGGCAAGAACGCACTGAAGAAGATGTAGGGCCCAATGGAATCGACGGAGTGGAACTTCATGTTGTTCTGCGCGGTGTCGAAAGCCTTGCCGTATTTGTTCGGTACACCTACTGCCGTGTTGGACTCTTCGCCAAAGAAGATGCGCATGATGCCATCGAAGGTGAAGTTGAAGAAGCAGGATTGCAAGTCCACCTGCTTCGTCTCGCCTCGAGATCTCTGCAGAAAGCGACGCAATACTTCTGCCTTCTCCACGAAGACTTCGTTCATTAAAGAGTTGAAATTCTTCCGACTGAAAATCTGCGACGAGACCTTGCGCATGTGCCCCCAGTCTTCACCATTATCTTCAGAACCTACCCCATGCTTTCTGACGCAAATGCCATCACCCAGAAACTCTTGGAAGTAGAACCAGATTGGATCCAAAGCTTTGTCCGGCTTCGTGTACTTGTTGAACTCGTCCTTCAAGATGTGGCGGACGATCTCAGGATCGTTCGCAATCAGCACGTACATCCCCGGGTGCCAGCTAAAACCCAGGCTTTTGGAGATTGCTTGCCCTCCACTAACTTCGAGTCGCCAGTCGTGGATACGATGCAGATTCGCTAGCAAGTCATTTATCCAACCAACAGGCTGATCGTGCCCGTCCCCGTTCGCGGCCGGCATGTCTTCCAGAAGGCCTCTCATCCGAGAGGATGTCCTCCATCCGGATATCAAGCGATAAAGAACCTGGACAGCACCAAAGATACCATAACCCAAGAGAGTCTTGACCATCAGCTGCTTGGAAAGGGCGGACTCTTTCCCGTCTTCCATGGCACCTACTGGAAGTAAGGCGGCGTTGGTGCCAAATTGTGTACCTCCCCCGAGAGGAGAGTTTAAAAGCCAAATGACTAGTCCACCGGCGACACACCGTGCTCTGCCCGCGGTGCTACTTCGGTCTGACGCACTTTAGGTTTCGGCGCTCACACTCGGACGATCCAGGCGAGGCATGTGAGTTTACGCTCTCACAACTCGGACGTGCCTGGCATGTGAGTTTGGCGTTTGGGTTTAAGGCTCTTGAAATCTCAACCCTTTTCCCTGAACCCTCAACCCCAAACATCAGAAACCCAGAGCCCTTTCGGGATCTGAACTCAGCAACCTTACCAGAGCCCGAAGGACTGCACTCCACTCTTCCTTGCCAACCCCGGCCTTGCTTCGAGGCGTTGACCCACCTTGCGAAGCTCGGGCTTGAACCGAAAGTCCTCTAGGGGTCCATTTTGGGGTTTCGGGTTGAGGGTCTCCCAAAGAATTGAAAGTCCCTTATAGCCCCCAAATACAATACATAAAGATAAATTACCCCCCAGACCCTACTCCAATCATTGTGGGCCTAAAATGGCCTATATTCGCTGCAAGGATCATCCCTCGAGGAGCGCAGGAGCCTAGCCCAGTCCAATGAGTAGATCTGTAGACGGGAATCTCTTTAATTTACAACCTCCATTCCAAAAAGCGCAAAAAAAAGAAAGAAGCCAAGGGGCAAAAAAGCAAGGGATGGCGTGTAGAGACACTTATATAAAAGGAGCCCACACGTCAAACATCAATATCTCCGGGGCAAGCCATAGGACACCATGATCCCAGAGCCCTGATTCAATCCTAAACCTGCTCATCGAGAGGGTAGTGGGGCCGGAAACTGTTGGAAGAAATCTTGTCCGATGCCACTGCCGTGTTTCCCAACTCGAGGCACGACATCCTCTCATTGCATCCCCAGTTGCAGCCATGGCGGAGTGCGCAGCAATTTGGAGAAGAAGCCTCCACTGCAATGGAAACTCAAAGATCAAGTGCCCGTACCAACGCCTGACCCAGCCTGGCCTAACCCTATCATATTCTGCGAAGCCCAGCGCCTGCAGCTGTCAACCCTAAGATACCCTGCATTCCCTCCGGTTTGTCCGCTTTCGGATTTTAGCGAACCTCAGACGCACTGGCTGCCAAGCCCTCTAAATCAAACGTATTTGTTCTTCGGAATCTGCGTTGAAAGCCTTGTCGAAGCGCGAATATGTCGACCTGCACGGTAATATGCAGCATTGCAGGGCTTCTGGAGTTTAATAAACGTTCTGGAGGAGGCTCAATGTGGCAGGGCCAGGATTGCCGACGAACTGTGCAATCCACCAGCTTCAATCCTTCAAAGGGCTGTTAGGTTACTGCGGAAGAATGCCTCGCCAGTAAAGATCTCCAAAGAGTCCCTAAGCACCACCAAACCGAACCAGAATTTGTTGCAGTTCTTGTGATGAGCTATTTCGTTTTAGAAACGCTCTAGCAATGGCAAACCAGCTTTACAAGGACAAGACTCCTGTAGATAAAACCCTGCTTGAGTCCCATGCTGAGCCATGCTGCAGACCACACAAAAATTCTATCATATTCCAACTTCGCACATCCAACAGATTATTGTCACTAGCGGCACCCGCCAAAAGGACCTACCTCAACTCTTGTAGGGCCCGAGAATAGCTTCATCACACCACTCGCCCAATGGCTCAACACATTGGAAGTCCTGGTAATTCATGCAAGTACTACGGATCGTAGGTATGTAGTGGCACTTACCATGCTTGTCTGCCTCTTCTTCGCACTGCTGCTGTTGTTGCTGCCGTGATAGTTGTCACTCTCGTGGGTGTTGTCATCTTCGCATCGCCGCCGCGGTCGTGCGTATTGTCGTCAATGAAGAGGTTGCTGTTGTTGCTGTTCTTGTTGCGTCGTCTCTCTACTGTGCGCTCTGGTTGCCCCCGCTTTTGGTTGATCATTACTCCTGCTACTTCTCCTCCTCCTGTCACTCCTCCTCCACTACTTCTAATGGTACTACAGTACTACTGCTGCTGCTGCTGCTGCTTCTACTACTACTACTACTACTACTACTACAGTACTACTACAGTACTACTACAGCTACTACTACAGTACTACTACAGTACTACTACAGTATACTACTACAGTACTACTGCAGTACTACTACTACTACTACTACTACTACCACTACTACTACTACTACTACTACTACAGTACTACTACAGTACTACTACAGTACTACCACAGTACTACCACAGTACTACTACAGTACTACTACAG